TTTTATTTTTTTTTTGCTGTTTTGTGCTTGTTAGTAATGTTTCTGCAGCTCCTGTTTGCCATCCCAGTCCTGTCCTTAGCGTTGTCTGAGTTTTCGCAGGGTGAGGCTGGCAAGTCAGTAGGTACCCGCAGGGCAGGGAGCTTTGGGGAGGCACAAAGGCAGCGCTGAGCTGAGGGTTTCACATCAAAAAGAGCTGGGAACAAGCCGGTGGTATGAACCCAAGCTTAGGGATGATTCGGTTTCAGCTAAGGGATGGAAGCAGGTTCACTCCAGCATGCAGGGACTGGATGCAGAGTGGTTCAGCTGCGGGGTAGGGCCCTAAATCAGCTCTCACCGAGTGGTGCAGGAGGGTCTGGAGGTGTTTGAGATCTGAGTGTCCCCAGCAGCAGTTTGCGTTTGTCTGGGCTCAGTGTTGTTTACTGGGTGCAAACAGGAGCTCCCTTGGGGAGTGTTCGGGTCGGCTTCTGGGTGCTCCGGGAGGTGGTGTGAGACCCAAGAGAAAGAGCTGCGCTCCCCCATGTGAAACCCGTGCTGAGATAAAAATAAGCATCAAAGGTTGTGGCCGTTGAGCTTGGCCTGTGTGCTGAGAAGCAGCTGGAAGCTGCTCCGTTGCAAAAAAGACCCATTGCAGCAGCCTTCCTCATTATCAAAAGTTGAAGAAAATTCTGGATAAAATGGCAGGAGACCACAGGCAAAAGAAAGAAGCTTAACAGGAAGGAAGGATGTAAGGAAAACAGTGGCTTTGTTTTAAATGTTAATCTTTTGCTAAGAGCTGTACAAGTAGTAGATGGAAATACTGTATTCTTTTCTGGTTTAGTGAAATACAGTAGGTATTATAGGTCTATTCATGTGTTAAACGTTGTAGCAAAATACATAAGCAGTGAAGTTAATATAAGTTAATGCAGTCTAAGGTGCGTTTCCCTTACTGGGTGTTTCTCCCTGTCCCCACGGGATAGCGGAGTCAGCTCAGGGCACTGCTGAGCTTCGCTTAACGTGATCGATAGACGAGCGAGGCTGTCTTGTGTTGAGCCTCCTGTTCTGGTCTTGCTGCACCTTTGAATTCTTGGTCTGCGAGGCTTGTAAAAGGTAGCGAAGACACGCAAACCTGCCGTGACGGCTCTGCAAGGCAGAGCTCTGCAGATCTCAGAAGACTGCCCGGCTTTGGTCCAGCTTTGTAGAGATGCTGCCACCTTTTCTGTCTAAGTTTATCAAGCCCGAGAGTTTATTTAGCTAGTTTTTTCTGCTATATAGTTTGTAAAATAATAAGAGGTTTGGTCACCTGCCTCCCAGAGAATTTTGCAAGCAGCTGGGTGAAGATGGAAATGGATGGAAAAGCAGAGCTTGGAGCGCGTCGGTGCTGACGGAGGGATTGTGGCATCGTTCGCGGGGGAAGGCTCCATGGGCGCTCTCTGAATTAAAGCCATTTGCAATGAACACATCTGGGTTTAGGAGGGCCTGTAGGCTCTTCTCCAACCCGGGGTCCACCAGGCAGAGTCTCTACCGTGTCCCCAGCAGCAACGCAGAGGTGGGGCGCGGGGACGGGAGCGCGCGCGAGCATCCGCGCAGAAGGGAGAGCACAGCACACCGTAGCTATCCTGTCCTAGCCTGAGCAGCACGACAAGTAACTTTCTTTTCCTCTTTAGATTTATGTTGGTTTTTTGGTTTTTTATTAGCATGGAATTTTTTAAACAAGTGTATATTTTATTTATTTATTTTTTACTGTTTTCTGCAGATTCTGGTCTGAGCAGCCCTCTCAGTGACCCTGAGTTTGACTTTGAAAGTTAGTTCCTGTGTGTTTTTGTTCCTGTTGGTTTCATTTCCCCCCCTCCATTCTTATTTTTTATCTCTTCTGTCGCTTTCCTTTCCGATTCTGTTTCGTTCCTGTTAGTTACTTTTTTTTTCTTTTTTCTTTTCTTTTTTTTTTTTTGCCAAATTGTGTCTCCCTGCGATGTTTGCCCATCTCATCCCTTTTCTGTGCCATCCGTTTGTCTGAGCCGCGCTTCCAGTTTTACAGTATCAAACCCCAGGCCTTTTGCAAGACAGTAGCAGCAGAGTAGAGCCCCCGCTAGCGGCGTGGGACACTGTCCGTCCTTCTGCGTCTCTTTGGCTGTCCCAGGAGCAACACTTGGCTTTCAAGGCTTTTTTTTTCCTCACCGTCATGGCAGAGGTTTCGTTTCTGAAGCTCAGTGTCCCTCGTGCTTCTTCACGGGCAGAAAAAGCGGATTTATTTGTGGGAGCGTTGGTAGCAGCAGAGTAGAGCCCCCGCTAGCGGCGTGGGACACTGTCCGTCCTTCTGCGTCTCTTTGGCTGTCCCAGGAGCAACACTTGGCTTTCAAGGCTTTTTTTTTCCTCACCGTCATGGCAGAGGTTTCGTTTCTGAAGCTCAGTGTCCCTCGTGCTTCTTCACGGGCAGAAAAAGCGGATTTATTTGTGGGAGCGTTGTGTGCGTGCCTGTGCTTTTGCATTTGTTGCT